GCCAGGTGCCCGCTCCCCCAGGATGGCAAGTGCTGCTACCCTACCCTGCATCACCAGCGCCTGGTGCACGGCGGCTCCCGCAGCGCTGGGTCGAAAGGGAAGGAAAGGAGGGCATGAAAGAAGGTTTGATACTCAGATGTGCAGGGGGAGGATGAGAGCATTCCCCAAACTGAGAATGAATCTGGGATCTTAATTGGAGCGAAAGGTTTAGGGAAGTGGAGCCAACCATCAGGAACTCCGCTCACCTAAGGAAAGTGGTCTCCATTCTGCACCCAAGTGAGCCACTGTGGGAGTTTAAGGAGAAAGAACAGCATGATGGGATCAATGGTTTGGGAAGATTAATCGGGCAGCCACATCTATAATAGATTGTGACCTGTTTCCAACAGACACTTTTGAAACAACTGAACGCTACACTCTCAGCTCGGCTCTTGTGTGCTGGAAAGATCTGGCTCCTGCATACAACAAGCAGCCCCCAAAACTAACTGTGCACGCACAAGACATTTATTAAAGTATTGGTGCGTTGTAAAATGACAGCATAATTACATACCAACACCGGAGCAAAGTAAAACAATCGCAAACCACTTCTCGCTCCCCTGACAATGACATTTAAGCCACAACTGGCAATACCCTTCCTCCCCCCAATCCCACGCCAATGCTGACAAATCTGAGTGGGGAGAAGAGAGACGACGGAGCAACCCCACCCCCCACCCCGGGGTGACCAGCTCCAGGTGACAACTTTCTGACTGCTTAGCACTGCTCTCCAGGCCCTAGGTGCTCACTGCCCCCCCCACCCCCAAGCTCACCTGCCACTGTGGGGTCCGTAGAGGACCAAGTCACCTGGATGGGTGCCTTGCAGCAGCCCAGGCTTCCCATCTGGCTCCCAGGTCCCCCATGTGCCTCCGGAACAGGAGCATGACCCCAAACCTGACCTTGGCCCCCCCCCCCGCTTGGCTGAATGCTGTGACAGAACACAATATTATGTAAGGAACCGAGGCACAGCTGAAATGAAGCGATTCCAGTGAATTAATGTTTCCACGAATGCTCCTAAAGCCATAGTTTTGTTTGAAAATCATACGACTTATAACATCTCTGCCGTGTGAGCAAGAAGGGAAGTTGGAAATTGATTTGCGGGGCCACTCATAATTTTAGTTGTAATTTCTGTGTGTTTGGTGACTCCAAATCTTTCCTCCTCTAAAAGGTCTGTGTTCTATGGGCAGTTGCTACCTACACGCTCAGCGAGGGCAGAGCAGAACAATGTGAAACAGAAATAATTCACTGTACACAGAATCGCGTGGGTTCAAGTTCTAGGTCAACTACCATGGTGAAAAACAGAAAATAAAGAACATGTTTCACCATTATCTGCCACACCTTTCAGAATGAAGCAAAAATGGTGATAGGAGCAACAGAATGTTCCTATTTTCAGGGTAAGGAAAAAAAAAAGTCTTTTCCAAACCTAATCAGAAAAATGAAATGCACAATTCCCTCCAGCAAGAATTTTATTTTTAATTTTCATTTACATAGTATCTTTCTTCCAAGAATCTCAAAATAATGGAGCTCCACAAATACTTACAAAGAAAAAAAATACAAAAACAACAGTTGTCACAACACAGGAGGGGACAGGCTTGGCAGGGCTGGAGCTCCAAGAGGGGCAAGAAATGGCAGGCAGCGGTGAGAGCAGGCACCCGGGCTGAGGGTGGCGCCTTTGAGGCTCTTCCTTACCAACAGCCCATGGCCTTGCTCCTGCCTGCAGCTTTCAGGCTCTGGAAGACAAGGATTTACCTTCGGTGTCATTTATTAGCATTCATCAAGCTATTCTAACCTAAAGAGCGATTTCTCCCCTAAAAACCGGAGGCAAGCTGGCCATCAACCAAAGACGCTCACAGGTCTAAAATATCAACGGAACCAAGATGCCTAAAAGGACTTCCTATTCTTTTTGGTCTTAAAAACATAAAATTAGATGAGAAAATACTAAAATTGTGCTGGGGGGAAAGAACCAAGGTAAGAGAGACTTTTAGGAGGAAATTGGGAAGAGGCTTTTAAGCTAGTTGTTTGTTTGTTTTTTTCCAGTTGAGTGGACAGGATCCGAACGTCTTACATTTAGCAAAAAGCTGTCAACACCCAAATAAAATCTTAATGACAGTCAGAATGGCATTCCATTTCTTGCAATTTTGCAATGTTCACTTAAGAAAGAGCTAATTTGTCAATTTGTTTTTCCCTTAACCAAACTCGGAACACCTCGCAACCATACACAACTTTTTAAAAAACGTTAACTCCTTTAACTTATTGAATAAACAGGGCCAAATACAAAGATGTCTTTCAGAAAACAAGCCCCATGCTGGTATGCTCAGGGTAATGCTAAGACAGAACAAGCTTCAGAGTAAGTTCTGGTAATTTCTTCCAACATTAACTTCATATATCACAGTCAAAAGCATTGAGGGTTTCAATTGTCAGCTGAGTGGGCCCCATTGTGGCCTCCTGGGTTTTATAAAGGTGTGGGCCAACTCATTTTCACAAGTGCTTCAATGAAAGGAAACAGAATCTATTCAGTTCCGTGTGAATCTCCTACCTGGCTACTTTTCCCAGTCGCTTTGTGGTGCTGGGTAAATTCCTGGGAGGAATGAACGAACACTCCCAACCTCGCTCCTTCTCCAGCCACCTGTCTGACGGGGTTCCTGAGGATGCGGGGGGTTCCTCTAGGTGGGAATCGTACCGACCAGGTCTGAGGAACTTCCCGGGTTGCCCATGGCCCAGGGCTCTAATAAACACAAAAATTCTGCCAACTGCCCTGGGCCTCCTGCAGCAAGGAAGAGCTTTCAGATTTAAATGAAGAAAATGACAAGATTTATTTCGTGCACTAACATCATCCTCTCAGAATTTAATTACAGCAAGAATGAGAATTATTTTTATTAGAGTTGTTTACTTTTCGAAGGAAAGGTCCTTGATGGGTTTTGCAACAAATTAGATGTCTTTCAGAAACCCTTGTTTGCCCTCATTATGTTTTTTAACTGTGACGTATCATGTGAATAGGGTAGCATGTGAACTTCTTAAAAATCAAAGGTGCTTCAAAGCTGTTTCTCCTATCGTGCCCATGAAGGTGAGCGACGCCATCGGTCACCCCCTTAATCCCAGGTCACTTCCTGCAGGGACACCTCCCACCAAAGACCCGCTACCCACTTTCTCAGAAGACAGCTGAAATGGGGACTGATTACAGCTCAGCAAATCCAAAACTGTGACAGGAACAACAGCTCAATACAAATCCTAGCTGTCCTCTTCAATAAAATCAATACCTAAACACCAACCAAAACCTGCTTCTTAAACATACAGCAAAACCAGGGCTATTTAGCTGGCTTTGAAAACTAGAATAGGAAAAATGGCCGAGATAATTCAGAGAGCCCCACCACTTACATTTGTTGAAACCAACTCGGTTTGGTGTTTGTTTTGCTTTGTTTTTTTTTGCCGGGGGGGGGGGGTTGCTATGTGCGTTTATATCCCTAAATGTAGAGTTTTTAAGAAAAGTAATTTCTCTCTGAATTCTAAATCATTATCAGGGTTTAATAAAATTTACCCAAATGCTCATGTCAATAAATGTTTATTAAATCAGAAATCACAAGTGAATTCACAACTTCTTTGCCATAAATGCTATATAATACAGACATTAAATTTCTTGCCTAAGTATGCCATTAAAGTTCCTTTTTACGCACCATTGTTTTGGGTTTCCAGACATACATAGGCATCTAGTTCCTAAAATGCCCAGCACGACTGGAACGTCCAGGTAAACAGTAGTGGGGCGTAATGAGAGGTCACAGGGCCCCCTCTTCAAATAGCTTCAACAAAACAAATGGCCAGAAGTAAAAAGTGTCTCTGTGCTTTGCTATAAGATTCAAACACAGGATTCCAAGAATTCCACCTGTTTCCAATTAGATACCAGAATTGCTTGAGTGTTTAAACTACGTTCACTTGCTACTTATACAAAACAATTCTTCCGGGTTTTTTGAACGTTTTAAGTAATGTTAAAATAAGATTAAGGGTCTGGTTTAAACAATCAGAGGCAGGGGAATTTCAGTTGAAACCAAAACTCTCTCTCAGCAGCCATAATGCAGAGCTTCAGACAAAACAAGAGAACAAGATAACCCATTTCTATCTTTGACAATTACTTGTAAAAATCAGACCTTTCACAGGAAAAGCAACTATGTTTACATTTTTATACCATAAATGAACTATAAATAGGTTTTTAGGTAATTTCTAAAACAATGCAGAATCCTATATAATAAACTAACTTGAAGGTCAAGTTTGTGGTACAGGCCATCAGATACACCTGCCTTTTAAGTATGTGAAATTTACATGACGCCAAATGCATGGTGTAAAACAGGAGTACAGGTAGGAATTTGGCCTAGCTCTGTCCGATTTTTCATGTGATGAATTTCTCTTTTTACAAATGTGCCAGCTTCCCTCTAACAAATTTGTCCTTCCTTCGTTTCACTGAGATGTTCCTTGTGCTTTATAAATGAGCTGAAACGAATATAGATTTCCTACTTCCAGCCTTGTTCGGTCTCCTAAGACGGACCAGGAGCACAGCCTCGGGAGCAGTTCTGATTGTTGACTGCTACAGGTGGACCGGGAAACGGGGGGGGGTTGGTCAGGAAGCACAGACCAGCCCTTCTGCACAGCTCCTGCAGAAACCCTGCTGGGTCTGTTTTAATTGTACACAACAGGGCGGGAGACTTTTTCAACAGCCATTAAAGGTCTCCACTGGCTCCCCAGACAACATTTTTAAGGTTAGCTCAGTGGATTAGGAGAGAGTAATTCCTGAGGGGATTGGCAGTTTGTCCCCTTGCCCTTCCAACTTCCTCAGGTAGCTAACTACTGGCAAGAGCTATGTGAAACTGGGGAAGGAGGCAAAGGGGGACTCGACAGACCCAACTGTATCAGAAGCTCTTGCATAACCCCATCCCTTCACGGCCTTGCACCTTAAAAAAAAAAAAAAAAAAAACTACACATAGTTTCACAGAGAGGGAAAAAACCTTTAATCCACTGACAACGACCCCCTCCCACACCCAATCTCAAAGACACCGATATTAAAAGAACCAAGAAAACAAAGACAGCAGCTGTGTAGAACTCCTTGATGATGTTTCCTCGGTAGTTTCTAAAGGGTACTGAATGGGATACGTATTGTAATCAAGATAATATACTTCTGGGGAACACTGCCATAACAGGAAAACGCAAATTAAAACCCATCAGAGAAACAGACTTTCGACAAACCTGGAATTATTTTCTGATTTTGAAAAAGGAAAAACGTTTCAAGGTTACTTTTGGGGAGACTCCTTAAAGGGGAGCACCAGTCATCACGTAGGACTAACGCCCCCATGGGAAGCCAGTCACTGGCAGGCCCCGTCCCCAAAAGCTTCGCTCACACACAGTTACATGAGCTTGTTTTAGAAAGTGTCCTCTTTTCAAACATGTATTTAAAAGGCAAATTTATACAATGGTGTTTTTCTTGTTACCCAAAAAAAAAAAAAAGCCTGGTTTTTACAAGTCTGGGATAGGATAAAAAACTTGTCCAACTAGTCTTAGCAACACCAAAGCACTGACACTTCCATACCACAAGCCTTTGGGACTAAAAAGGAAACGAAATAGAGCTCAATCTTCAGAAGCTCTCTTCCTGGGCACTCAGTCCACATCCCAATGCAGCTTCAAGACCAAGCAGAGGGACAAGAACTCAGGCCCGGCTCACTGGGGCACAGCAGAGGCATGGGAGGGGCTCAACTGTCTGGTCTCCAGCAGACCCGCAGAAGTCTCCAACCTGGATCTGAGTCTAGTCTCTACCCTCAGGTGGCAGCGCCACAGCCCATACGGGGCTCTGCAGGCAACCCGATCTCTGGGTCAGGGGCTCTGGAAAGACGAGAAGAGTCTGAAACTAATGAATTCTCTCTTCTCAAACTGCAGTCTCATTGGCTCACTTACTCTGTGGGAACAGAGATGACGTTAAACTGGATACCAACTCAAAAGGCCTCTTCAGGGCCCAGAGAAAGAACCAGTTTAGCCTTATACTTGAACTCTGGCATTCCATAGCCAAATGAAGGTTCTCAGACCTGCGATGGAGTGGCAACAGGAAATCATCTAAGGCCAAATCTTTATCTACCACCCAAAGTCAATGGATGCTCCGTACAGAGAATGATAGTGATGCTCGCTCCCATAATCTGCTTTTTCAAGACCAATACCTTAAAGTTCATTCACGTAAACTGACAAGGAAACTTCCAACCCAATCCTGCAGTTACAGTTAAACATCCTCATGATATCCTGAAGCAGCTAATCACCAGCCGATTTGGGGTGTCAAAGAGTTCATAAAATCTAATACCTCTCTGGAAACCAAATCCATCTCCCATGGAGTTTTGCCAAGATGCTTAAAAAATAAACCTCACTGATGTTCGGCTAAATGTCCATTTAGGAAGACAAGGGAAAAAAATTAAGGTTTGTCCTTCAAAACTCCACAACGGGTTTTACAGTAAACACAGGAATTAAATTATGGTAAAAGGGAGCTATTTTTACTAAAACAGGGTAGACCAATTTATCAAAAATGCCATTCGGCTGTGTTCATTACATTCAGGAATCTAATTTACACAATAGACACTTTGGAGTAATCTATTTTAGTCAATAAATACTCAAACTCCTTTAAGTTTTAATCTTATCGGAAATACATATTTCACATAGTCCTCTTCCTAGTTAAGCGAGAAATTTCAAGACATTTCATAACGACTATGAGTCTGCTTTATCGTCCTCACGTAGGCAGGAACAGAAAACAAGCATATACAATTAAAGTTGTCAGACTCCATTTATATAGGTTTTAATCCAATCCGCTTCATTTCATTCGAGGCTGCATCTGGAGTTGATTTGCTTCCCTCCTAAAAGTATCGTAGGTCACTATCACCGGTCCTCCGGGTTAGGAAAGTTCGGTCAAGTTTACCTTCCCGCACTCCTCAGACTTGGGCGCCGCGGCCGTCCCCTAAGGGACGCTGGGTGACCCCCGGAGCACCGGACGGCCCTGGGCCCTGGCGAGCCGCAGACCAACCTCCCCTCCCGCCCCCCCCCCCCCCCCCGCAGCGCTCCCTGGGCTTCTGGCCCACACGCCGCTCACCTTCAACTTGGCTCCGGCTACGCACAACATCCACCTGGCAGAGTCCCGGGGCTGTCCAGGCGCCGCGAGCGCGGAGCCGGCAGGTTCGGGGTGAACCCCAAGGGTGCGCCGCTCCTCTGGGTGGGGGGTGGCAGGCAGGAACGCGCCCCCTGGGCACCGCGGCGGCACCGGGGCCGGATGAGGGGCCCCCGCATGATCCCCCCACGGCGCCCCGGGCTCGGCGCGCGGACCGTGGCCCAGCACGCCATAGTCGAGGGGGGCCCCCGGGGCTTTGCCTTCGAGAACCCGACCCGAGAAGGCATTTCGGAGAGGACCAGCCGCGCGCTCCATTGCCACCGCGGACCCTGCGGGGGGGCGCCAGGGCCCCTGAGAAGAGGGCCGGAGCGGAGCGGGCGGATCACGGAGGGCTGCGGGAGCCCCTGGGCTCGGGGCTAGAGCCGCCGGGACAGGCGGCGGGGAGGAAGCGTCCCCCACCCGGGCCAACGGCGCGCCGGGGCGCAGCGCGGGGCCTGCGCTCGGGGAAAGTTGCTGCCCTCCGCCCGCA